TGGGCCTAAAATATAATTAGTGTGGCTTAAATTAGCTCCTCTTACAGTCGTTAATTAATTCGTAGAACTGAGTTCAAATGTTTAGTTTAGAGAGACTGTTTTCAAGAACATTTTTGAGTCAGAGGAACGTTGTTGTCAAGAGCTCTCCACGGTTGTGTTCTTGCCACAGGTAAAGAGTTAATTAATTAAATGCCCAAATTGGAATTTTAGTTGTTTTTTTTGTGCTTTTCAAATCAAAATTGCAGAATGGAAAAGGTCAAAAAAATGTCCATGCTATTTTTTCCTCTATAGATTTTTGTAACCAATCATTCAGTTATTTGTGTTCACTGGGCTTGCCCTTATTGTATTCTTGAAATTGAAATGCAAATTTGTTTTTTGGTGTAAATTAGTGATGGATCTGAAATTGTTTTGTGGGATTGATTGAGATTGAAATAGAAGGAATACAAAATGAATGGAAGCAAATGCATAATCGATAACCAAGAATATAAGTTTTTTTTTGGTTCGGGAAATTTTCGAGGTCGGGGAAACCAATCCCGTTAGGGGGCGGAGACGGAAACGGGGACGGTGATAGGTCCCCCGTCAAGGATCGGGGGGAACGGAGAAATTTTTACCATCGGGGATTGGGGATGGGGAGTGTGATCCCCGACCCTGCCCCGTCCCGTCCTGTCCTGCCCCATTGCCATTCCTAGATATAACACAAAAATATTATAATAAAGGATTGTTTGGCATGATAGATATAAGTGCACTTATTTATTTAAGTTATATTCATTTCTCTATTTTTTGTATTTTTTTTATAAAAAATCAAAAATATATTATATAGATTATCTCAAATAACCCCTAAATCATTATCTTTTAATCAAAATAGTTGATAATATTTTACATTACAAATAGTTTGTGTGCGGGGAGCAAATATTCAGGCTAGCCCGCACTCCTTTCTTCCGAGCTCCTGTCTGTCCGATCGACCTGAGAGCACAACGGTGGTGAGCTACCCGGCGGTGTGTGGCCGGAAAACTCCTCGACGATCAAGTTAGACACACACACAGGGATAGAGAGAGAGAGGATGAGTTTTGTTTAGTGTATGTCTCACCAAATATCATCCGTGTAAGTATGGGGGGGCAGACTTGCTTATATACCTCTGCGCCCAAATCCACTCACATTCGTCTCTCGACATGTGGAGCTGCTATCCCATCTGTCAGCACAAATCTTGCTGAGCATCACCTAACTCAATTGCCAGCCCACTCTTCTAGGAGCTCGGCAGCCGGGCAACATTATCTCGGCTACCAATGGCCATACTCCACTTCAAGCCTAAGCGCACTTGTCGGCGTAATGCTTCTCCAACCGGGCTCATTTCTAGCCGTTCTCGACTGCATTCCAACGAAGCCGAGATGGAGATTGATCACCTTGGTCGTGCCGGGCTGAGGGCTGTATTACAACCGAGCAACGCGCGAGCTGTGGAACCCTTTCCTGACTGAACTTAACCTGCCCGGTCTCCGTGCCAACGAAATCAGGTAGCTCGGTTCCACAAGGCCTTTGCCATTACCAAGCAAGATCACGGCCCAATCTCGGAGCCAATACCTCGGCCCAACCTCGTTCGGCCCAATCTATCCGGCTAATTCCACGGTCCAATCTCAGATCTTAATCTCCCTCTCAGTTTGCAATATTTAACTCACACTATTCATAACATAACAAAAATTAATCGTAATTTCACTTCAGAACAACATATCAGAAATTTGTTATTTTTAATTTTAACACAAAATGTTCTTGATGGTGGTCTATGTACGGTATTGTTTGGGTAGTGGGTTTAGGGCTAAAATAGTCATAAAAAATAAAATAATTTTTTAACCTTAATAAGACAAAATATCACATTCATTCATAATCATATATTATTTTTTTTTTTCGCAAAAAAGCCAAAAAAAAACCAACAAAAAAGCCAAAAACCCTTTAACCCGAGTCTAAAATAACTAAAAAAAAATTAAAAATCAAAAAATCAAACTACTTTCCAAATCAAGCCGTAATAGCATTTTCATTGATTTTAATTTTATATTTTATTTTTTAAACGAGTCACAATCCACCAATCATTCATTTTTAATCCAAGATAAAGGCAAATTAGTAACCTGACAACAAAGAAACCTCGATGAGGTTGCAATTGGAAACAATTGGGACATTATTTTGCGTAAAATCGCTAAGATTCTGTTGTTTGGTTTTAGACCGATTGCATAAGGGAAATTAAGACTATCAAATTATTAATTTTGTGATGTATAATTTTTAAATTATTTAGTTAGAAATAATGTCTATTCTATGTTTATTTATTATTTGAAAATGACTATTCTATTGAATCTAATGTTTGATTAAAATATTATGAAGAAAGATAAATGCTTAATAAATTTATTTACCATTTTTAATTGTTTATTAGTAATATCAATATTAAATTTGTCTTTAATATTTTAATCATTTTGGGTAGATTAAATAAAAAATTATTTTATTTTTAATAAAATTAAATACAATTATTTTTAATTAACTAAATTAAATAAATGAATAAAAATTTATGTTATTTTTAAAATAAAATTTTAAATAAATTTATTTTAAAAAATATTAAATATTAAATAATAAAATTAAATGAAAATCAATAAAAATTAAATAAAATATCAACAAAAACTTAAAATAAAACATCCATAAAAATTTATTTAAATAATTAACGTTTTGTAGAGTTTTAGAATTATGATTTGAGAATAGAGTTGTATTTTGAGTTTGTGAATTTTGAAATTATGATTTAAGTGCAAAAATTTCGTTTAGTTTTGAGTTTTGAAAAGAATTTTGAATTGAGTTTGAAATTTTTGATGTGCCATATGATATTTTATCAAAAACTTACAACATAACTAAACACACAACCCAAAATTCTATTCAAAGCTCATAGAAATTTTTTTAAAAAAATCTAAAATATTTTTATTTAAAATATAAAAATAACAGGTGCTAAAAAAAAAAAACATGAACACTGTTCTGGTCGCCGAATGTCCGGAGATGTCTGGGAGGATGACTAGGTAAACGTGTTTTTAAAACTGAGTGTGGAATCAATTTTTGAAAACTGTAACCAAATACCATACTCAAACCAAGGGGTGAAATTACATTTACAAAGCTCTACTAAACAGAAACAAGTAAATAAACATCAATAACTTAAATAAATTCCTTTTATTTTATTTTAATTGAGATTTTTATATTTTATTTTATTTTACTAAATATAATATAATGAAATCAAATATTTAGAGGGTAAATACGTCATTTTACAACTTAATCCCATGGGATTTCAATCCCACCATTTATCCCATACCCCCTAAACAAAATAGTCCAACATATATGAGATTCATAGTGGTGGGACTTCCTAATCCGACTACAAATTCTTAATTAAACAATGGATTCTATGGTAGATTAGACATGGAATCCAATTCTCCTTTCAAATCTTTCAAAACAAACACCTCCTAAGTTAATAAAAATTATAGTAAATGAAATTAGATGAACAATTTTCTTTTTGGTAATTTAAAAAGAAAAAAAAAAAAGAAATATCTCAACAATTGAGAGTTGACAGTATGCAACTGATGACACATCACCAATATATGAATCGAGCAATACTACCTATACTAAAATTTCTTACTGTTAGACAACTATAACATATCTATTAATCTATTCTATATCTATAACCTATATAAAAGTGTGTTAGTGTGGTTATAATGCTGCTTGCTGCCAATTGGTTTGACATGGATAATGCATAGTGCTATGACTGTTTGGTCTGTAATAACTCTTTCCTTGCAGATGTGGGCTGGACACGTGGGCTCAAATTACCAACTTTGAAATAGATAATTGCAATCCCACCTTTGTTGCCCATACCTCTATTTTTATCTCTATTCAAATCGACAGATATGTGTTTGCTTATGGTCCATCCAAGTGTCCCCAGTGATGCACCACAAGCCATAACCGCTGAAGTAACCAATCACAAGTTGCCCTGTAAATAATTTTTTATTGCAATTTGTCCAGGCGGTGATTCATATCTGTGTCTACACATTCATGGTCGCTTAAGTTTTTGAAAACGAACAACATAGTGCTCAACATCTGTAACACTGATTGACCAACCAATTGGAGGCCACCATCTTGAAGGTCTCTGTTTCGGTGATGACTTGAAAACATGACGTTAAAATACCAAGATGAACGGAGGTTTGATCTGCCGCAATTTCTACAAACGAGGTCCTTCTTTGGGGGTGTTCCATCTGCCTGTGCAAGAGCTCCTCCTGTTTTCGACAGGCAATGCAACCAGTCAGTTCACACAATAATATATACCCACTCGAGATTGCCGGACAATCTTTTATGAGATCCGAGGCACTCGGACTCGAAAGGATTCGGACCTACGAATCTAGATATCCGAAGCACTTGGCTTCGAACGGATTCAGATGCAATCTAGAAGCCGCTCCGTTAATGAGTCCCAGAACACTTGCGGGCTCGGAGCTTTCCGGGATCTACGCACCAGAACCATGGGCGTAATGGAGTTCGAACAAAGGACCCGATCCCGAGGACGGTGAGTGGAGATAAATTCACTCTTCGGTTAAACTAGCCTATACCCATATTAACTCCAAGAAGAGAATTGAAAGAAAAATAAAAAAATAAAATAAATAAAAACTGAATCTGAATATGGGCTCAATTTTTGTGGCAATGCACTTGAAACCTTATTGAGGTGCTTGGCCAAGTGTTTCGGATCTCTAGATTCGTGGGTCCGAATCCTTTCGAGTCCGAGTGCCTCGGATCTCTAGGCTTGCTTAATACCCTTTCGAGTCCGGGCCCGAGTAAGTCTCTAAGTCTCTAAGTTCGTGGATCCGAACCCCTTCGAGGCTTAGAGCGATTCAGCCCGTTTGATGGCGATAAATTTGGGCCCACCGATCTTGGACTTGCGATAAATTCGGGCCCACTAATCTTGGGCTATTGGGCCTAAATAATTTAGTGGGCTTAAATTAGCTCCTCTTACAGTCGTTAATTTGATGGAGTTCAAAATGTTTAGTTTAGAGAGACTGTTTTCAAGAACATTTTTGAGTCAGAGGAACGTTGTTGTCAAGAGCTCTCCACGGTTGTGTTCTTGCACAGGTAAAGAGTTAATTAATTAAATGCCCAAATTGGAATTTTAGTTGTTTTTTTGTGCTTTTCAAATCAGAATTTGCAGAATGGGAAAAGGTCAAAAAAATGTCCATGCTATTTCTTTTTCCTCTATAGATTCTTTGTAACCAATCATTCAGTTATTTGTGTTCACTGGGCTTGCCCTTATTGTATTCTTGAAATTGAAATGCAAATTTTGTTTTTGGTGTAAATTAGTGATGGATCTGAAATTGTTTTGGTGGGATTGATTGAGATTGAAATAGAAGGAATACAAAATGAATGGAAGCAAATGCATAATCGATAACCAAGAATATAAGTTTTTTTTTTGGTTCGGGAAATTTTCGAGGTCGGGGAAACCAATCCCCGTTAGGGGGCGGAGACGGAAACGGGGACGGTGATAGGTCCCCCGTCAAGGATCGGGGCCGGGAACGGAGAAATTTTTACCATCGGGGATTGGGGATGGGGAGTGTGATCCCCGACCCTGCCCCGTCCCGTCCTGTCCTGCCCCATTGCCATTCCTAGATATAACACAAAAATATTATAATAAAGGATTGTTTGGCATGATAGATATAAGTGCACTTATTTATTTAAGTTATATCATTTCTCTATTTTTTTGTATTTTTTTTATAAAAAATCAAAAAATATATTTATATAGATTATCTCAAATAACCCCTAAATCATTATCTTTTAATCAAAATAGTTGATAATATTTTACATTACAAATAGTTTGTGTGCGGGGAGCAAATATTCAGGCTAGCCCGCACTCCTTTCTTCCGAGCTCCTGTCTGTCCGATCGACCTGAGAGCACAACGGTGGTGAGCTACCCGGCGGTGTGTGGCCGGAAAACTCCTTCGACGATCAAGTTAGACACACACACAGGGATAGAGAGAGAGAGGATTGAGTTTTGTTTAGTGTATGTCTCACCAAATATCATCCGTGTAAGTATGGGGGGCAGACTTGCTTATATACCTTCTGCGCCCCAAATCCACTCACATTCGTCTCTCGACATGTGGAGCTGCTATCCCATCTGTCAGCACAAATCTTGCTGAGCATCACCTAACTCAATTGCCAGCCCACTCTTCTAGGAGCTCGGCAGCCGGGCAACATTATCTCGGCTACCAATGGCCATACTCCACTTCAAGCCTAAGCGCACTTGTCGGCGTAATGCTTCTCCAACCGGGCTCTTTTCTAGCCGTTCTCGACTGCATTCCAACGAAGCCGAGATGGAGATTGATCACCTTGGTCGTGCCGGGCTGAGGGCGTGTATTACAACCGAGCAACGCGCGAGCTGTGGAACCCTTTCCTGACTGAACCTTAACCTGCCCGGTCTCCGTGCCAACGAAATCAGGTAGCTCGGTTCCACAAGGCCTTTGCCATTACCAAGCAAGATCACGGCCCAATCTCGGAGCCAAATACCTCGGCCCAACCTCGTTCGGCCCAATCTATCCGGCTAATTCCACGGTCCAATCTCAGATCATTAATCTCCCTCTCAGTTTGCAATATTTAACTCACACTATTCATAACATAACAAAAATTAATCGTAATTTCACTTCAGAACAACATATCAGAAATTTGTTATTTTTAATTTTAACACAAAATGTTCTTGATGGTGGTCTATGTACGGTATTGTTTGGGTAGTGGGTTTAGGGCTAAAATAGTCATAAAAAATAAAATAAATTTTTTAACCTTAATAAGACAAAATATCACATTCAATCCATAATCATTATATTTTTTTTTTCGCAAAAAAGCCAAAAAAAAAACCAACAAAAAAGCCAAAAACCCTTTAACCCGAGTCTAAAATAACTAAAAAAAATTAAAAAGTCAAAAAATCAAACTACTTTCCAAATCAAGCCGTAATAGCATTTTCATTGATTTTAATTTTATATTTTATTTTTTAAACGAGTCACAATCCACCAATCATTCATTTTTAATCCAAGATAAAGGCAAATTAGTAACCTGACAACAAAGAAACCTCGATGAGGTTGCAATTGGAAACAATTGGGACATTATTTTGCGTAAAATCGCTAAGATTCTGTTGGTTTGGTTTAGACCGATTGCATAAGGGAAATTATAGACTATCAAATTATTAATTTTGTGATGTATAATTTTTAAATTATTTAGTTAGAAATAATGTCTATTCTATGTTTATTTTATTATTTGAAAATGACTATTCTATTGAATCTAATGTTTGATTAAAATATTATGAAGAAAGATAAATGCTTAATAAATTATTTTACCATTTTTAATTGTTTATTTAGTAATATCAATATTAAATTTGTCTTTAATATTTTAATCATTTTTGGGTAGATTAAATAAAAAATTATTTTATTTTTTAATAAAAATTAAATACAATTATTTTTAATTAACTAAATTAAATAAATGAAATAAAAATTTATGTTATTTTTAAAATAAAATTTTAAATAAATTTATTTTAAAAAATATTAAATATTAAATAATAAAATTAAATGAAAATCAATAAAAATTAAATAAAATATCAACAAAAACTTAAAATAAAACATCCATAAAAAATTTATTTAAATAATTAACGTTTGGTAGAGTTTTAGAATTATGATTTGAGAATAGAGTTGTATTTTGAGTTTGTGAATTTTGAAATTATGATTTAAGTGCAAAAATTTCGTTTAGTTTTGAGTTTTGAAAAGAATTTTGAATTGAGTTTGAAATTTTTGATGTGCCATATGATATTTGATTCAAAAACTTACAACTCATAACTAAACACACAACCCAAAATTCTATTCAAAGCTCATAAGAAATTTTTTTAAAAAAATCTAAAAATATTTTTATTTAAAATATAAAAATAACAGGTGCTAAAAAAAAAAAACATGAACACTGTTCTGGTCGCCGAATGTCCGGGAGATGTCTGGGAGGATGACTAGGTAAACGTGTTTTAAAAACTGAGTGTGGAATCAATTTTTGAAAACTGTAACCAAATACCATACTCAAACCAAGGGGTGAAATTACATTTACAAAGCTCTACTAAACAGAACCAAGTAAATAAACATCAATAAAACTTAAATAAATTCATTTTATTTTATTTTTAATTGAGATTTTTATATTTTATTTTATTTTACTAAATATAATATAATGAAATCAAATATTTAGAGGGTAAATACGTCATTTTACAACTTAATTCCCATGGGATTTCAATCCCACCATTTTATCCCATACCCCCTAAACAAAATAGTCCAACATATATGAGATTCATAGTGTGGTGGACTCCTAATCTGACTTACAAATTCTTAATTAAACAATGGATTCTATGGTAGATTAGACATGGAATCCAATTCTCCTTTCAAATCCTTTCAAACAAACGCCTCCTAAGTTAATAAAATTATAGTAAATGAAATTAGATGAACAATTTTCTTTTTGGTAATTTAAAAAGAAAAAAAAAAAGAGAAATATCTCAACAATTGAGGTTGACAGTATGCAACTGATGACACATCACCAATATATGAATCCGAGCAATACTACCTATACTAAAATTTCTTACTGTTAGACACCTATAACATATCTATAATCTATATCTATATCTATATCTATAACCTATATAAAAGTGTGTAAGAGTGGTATAACGCTGCTGCTTGTTTGCTGTAATGCTGCTGCTTGTTGAGTGGTGATTTAGAGCCTTAAATTTGAAGTTTTAAAAACATCACTAATGAGGTGGTAATGTAAAAAAAAATAAAATAAAATAAAATAAAGGCAAAACTATCACATCAATAGTGAGGTCTACATGATGTCACATCATTAGTGATGCATTAGTAGTGCTAAATTAGTGATATGAAACATTTTTCCTGCTTGTTTGGTCTGTAATAACTCTTTCCTTGCAGATGTGGGCTGGACACGTGGGCTTCAAATTACCAACTTTGAAATAGATAATTGCAATCCCACCTTTGTTGCCCATACCTCTATTTTTATCTCTATTCAAATCGACAGATAATGTGTTTGCTTATGGTCCATCCAAGTGTCCCCAGTGATGCACCACAAGCCATAACCGCTGAAGTAACCAATCACAAGTTGCCCTGTAAATAATTTTTTATTGCAATTTGTCCAGGCGGTGATTCATATCTGTGTCTACACATTCATGGTCGCTTAAGTTTTTTGAAAACGAACAACATAGTGCTCAACATCTGTAACCACTGATTGACCAACCAATTGGAGGCCACCATCTTGAAGGTCTCTGTTTCGGTGATGACTTTGAAAACATCGACGTTAAAATACCAAGATGAACGGAGGTTTGATCTGCCGCAATTTCTACAAACGACGGTCCTTCTTTGGGGGTGTTCCATCTGCCTGTGCAAGAGCTCCTCCTGTTTTCGACAGGCAATGCAACCAGTCAGTTCACACAATAATATATACCCACTCGAGATTGCCGGACAATCTTTTATGTAGACAGTTGCTTCCATGTTTGTCTTTCGAGATGTGCCGCCATACGGTCTCCATGTCCTTCTTTTACTTTGATTGAATTTATATCTAAATGATGCACACCAACTGTTTGCTAATATGCACCAGAAAATTTGTTGATGTCTTAACCATTAATAAAGAGACATTATTGTAACTACTTGCAACCAAAAGTAGCAGCAGATAACCTTCACCCAACTATTAAAAAACTTATAAATACATGGTTGTTTATCTTTTGAGAGCGTAATTTATAAATAAATTGGATCGAGCTAAGTAACCGGTTTCTTTGGAAGTTGGGCCGCACGACGAACCGAGGTAGGAGCTGCTATAGCTCGGTCTATAAACTAACGAGCTTGGGCCAGGTGAAGTTCGTGCCGAGCAATGGGCCGAGGTGTTTGTGCTTTACAAATTGGACCTGGCCTTGTTAGCTCGGTCGGATATTGCGGCAGATAGCTCTATCTAAGCAGAACCAAGGTATAAGCAAACAAGGGCTGAGCAAGGTATTGCGTATGAAGGCAGCGGATTTAGTATGACAAAGGGCTAGTGTTAGCTCGGTTATATAGCTATTCAACCGT